TCAGCGCACAGGGGTTTTTCCTATCATATTTGTTTTTTCAGGCACTTCGAATACAGTTAGGCGCGATATTTCGGACGTACTTAGCTCTATGCGGTATTGTAGACTCCTTTCCGCCGCTACGGCATCTCCTTGGTCAAGGTAACGAAGCTGAGCCGAGAAAGTTGTGGTGCTAGTTAAGGCATGGTGGCCCTCCGCGACGTTTTCTTGTTTTCTCCAGCCGAAGTAACCGTAGTACTAGCCAACTTGCCCACCTAGTCTTTGATGGTAAGCTCGGTCCTAACTGCTAGCTAACGGTCGCAGCCGCCTTTGACCTTATGAAGGTGTCGTTATGATTGTGTTCGTGTCATTGGTCAGTCTAACAACACAATGTTTCCTCAGCTCCTTTTCTATTTTCAGAAAATGAAATTTGATAATTAAACTAGAAATATATTGGACAATCTATCCCGCTTGGAATATCAGTTGATTCTCTCATTGTTAATTACACATATCTCGTCTTTTGGACTCTTTGCTGGACGAGCGAATTCTATATGGTGATAATTATGAGTTGGTTTGTACCTGTCCCATATATCCTACCTTTTCTAAAGCTAATGTTTGTTCAGGACGTACTTGGTGAGCTACAAACGATTACTGTTCTCATATTTTTTCTATTCGGTTTTATATTACTTATTTTAAAATTCTAAAATCAGCATTCTGAACAATATCCCACAGAATACTTGTCATTCTGGATCGTCGTCTGCCTTAATGGACGTTTGATTTCAACAAAACGTTTACCGTTTACGGGAAAGGTCTCGAATACCGTTTTCCGCCCCCGCAGCTGATCCACTCGAAGATGGACGTACTGTTCATACTGCGTAAATATAAAACTTACACCTGTCCACGAAATCACCCATCTTGGCTTTTTCACTTTCAACGCTAAGCGATGTATGAAGTTGGAGTAAATCATTCAGCACCAATATGTTTCGGTCTGATAATAAAGCTGATGTACACCAGCTCCGGTGTGACAACCGCGAGATATTCGCATTCTGCAGCAAGCAGTCAGTGGTAATATGAACACATGTCCAGGTCTTTGACCGGTACCTTGCTTGGAGTATAGTAAATTAATCAGTAGTTAAGTCCCACTGAGACATTCCCAGACATGTCCAATTTTGTGACTCGTTATGTATCGTTTACTAAGCTACAGTTCGCTAACGTGCTCGCACCAGACACGTCACGCAAAACGTCGAGTGCCAAAAGAAGCGAAGAGCCGAGTCCGAGGAAGTAATCATGAAGAAGGAGACACGATCGCCGGGACAAGAGCTTTATTAGCCTGACGTTTCGTATTCCTACTCAAATCCATCATCAGAGACAAAACAGCAGAAACGGGTGGTTGTTGCACAAGGGGCTGCGGTATTTATAGGATGCAGTAGCCATGCTACCGCATACCTATGAGCGTTCACGGCTCTCCCCTTCATCCGGGATTGTCGCACTTGGTGTGATCATTGCTTGATGGCTTACATTCGAGTCGATAATTGCTGCAATTTCATCACGTGCGTTGGATGTTGGCGTGATGATTGCTCGGCCATCTGACGCATCGACCCCGGTGTTGGGAAAAGTGTTCACCTCTGTGCTCCCCGCATGGCTTGTTACCCCGCCTAGGCGAAGTTTCAGTACGGAGTATGGAATGGGAAGATCGTTGCACTTGTTGATGGACTGGGGGCCAGTAAACCATGATTCCAGTAGCTCCCGGCGCACTCGGTTGTCACCTGTTGCGAGAATTTCGGCCTCATCGAATTTAAATTTGTGGCCGGATCTCGTCAAATGAGCTGCAACTTGAGTGCTGGCGTCATTTCTGCGCACCGCTGCCGCGTGTTCGGCCATTCTCGTTCGGAGCTGTCTTCCGGTTTCGCCGACGTAGTTGCTTTGTCCGCAACTGCACCAGATCCGATAAACAACTCCAGACGTTTCTAGCCGTGGCAGTGGGTCTTTCGATCACATGACCAGACGCCTGATGGTTGCCTCCGGTCTGTGTGCCACTCCAACCCCAAGTGGTGCGAGAAGGCGGCCGACAGCTTCCGAAACGTTCTTGACATACGGAAGTGCCCGCCAAGACTTGGTGTCCATGCGGTTAGGCCTTTCGTCCCTTTTACGTATGCACCGGTTGACAAAGTTGCGCGGGTAGCCATTGGCTTTGAAGACCCGTCGGAGGTATTGTAGTTCAGCAATTTTGTCTTCCGGCTCACTGCAGTGCGTTTCGACACGCCGATAGAGCGTCCTTGCACAACTGCGTTTGTGGCTGACTGGGTGGTTACTGTTGAAGTTCAGTACTTGCATCGTAGTTGTCGCCTTCCTGAACACTTTGGTCTTTAGTCCACCACAATCCTTGCGGCATACGAGGACATCCAGGAAGGCCAGCTGGTTGTTTTCTTCCTCCTCCATCGTAAATTGAATGTCCGGGAAGACGGCGTTGAGATGTTCTTGGAATGTCAACACCTGATCCCGTTCGATGACGCCGAAGGTATCATCCACATACCGGGCCCAGAATTTCGGTCTGTGGCTTTGGAAGACCAGCGACTCTAACCGTTGCAGGACCGCCTCGGCCATGAATCCTGAAATCGGCGAACCCATTGGTGTGCCCTTCACCTGTTCGTAGATTGTCCCGTCGAACGTGAAGTACGTCCTGAGACAGAGCTTCAAGAGCTGAAGGACTTGGGCGTGTCCAAGAGGGTTCTCCGTTTCATCGTATTTGCTTTGTAGTAGCAGCTCAATTGTCTCGATCGCCAGGTCCTGGGGAATAGAAGTAAAAAGGGATGTAACATCAAAAGATACCATGACCTCATTTGGATGGATGCTTACCCCTTTGAGTTTCTCCAGGAATTGTGCTGACGAAGAGACCGTGGTGTCTGACTCAGCGGTCAGGAACTTGAGACGCCGGAACAGCCACTTAGCCAGTCCGTACGTTGGAGTCCCTTTGAGCGACACGATGGGTCGGAGAGGAGCGCCGTCTTTGTGCACCTTAGGGAGGCCATAGAATCGGGCCAAAGCCGTATCTTGGGGTCTCGCCATGCGTCTGTCGGTCGGTGTTATTGCACCTGAGTTCTCCAAGGCCAACAACGTGGCATTAATTTCGCGTGTCAGCGCCTTTAAAGGGTTCGTTGCACATGGGACATAGAACTGTCGGTCCTCCAGTAAACCTTTGGCTTTTTGAAGGTAGTCTGTCCTGTCCAGTACAACTGTGGCGCGTCCTTTGTCCGCTGGCACGATGACCAGGTCTTTGTCGGCCTTGAGTTCTCGAAGCGTATCACGTTCGACTTTGGAAAGCACTTCCCGCGGCCTGTGAGCCATCAGGAGAGACGACACTTGGTGTCGGATGAGGTTCTTGGTCTCCTCCGTTGCCTCCGTCTGACAAAGGATTGATTCCACTGCTGCAGTCGGTTTGATGATAGTTGGTAGCCCTCCTGACACCGCAAACTCAAAGCTGCCTGTCAATCGGGACCGGTGGTAATAGGGGCTATACGGGTGGGAAAACTGAGTGGACGGGTAAATGGCGATTGTAGTATATGCTAGGAATTGACGCTCCTGGTAAAATGGAAGCCTAATTTAGATTAGGTGAAAAATACAAGGAAGGTATGGAAATGAGCAAGGAGACTTTGAACGGTGTGTGGAATATATGCATGCTAGCCTCAGATTGGAAAGAAAAGCAAGTGAAGGCGAACAACCAATGGGAAGAATGCAACTGGTCCGAAGGTCATTCCGCAGTGTGTGCGATAGAACTCCATTCAACATAATGGACGGAAGAACACGAGAGTCAAGCAGCGGCACGCCGGACGCCACAACGCAAGCCGGGTAAGACTTTTATGCGAAAAATTGGTTTGGGCGAAAGAGGAAGTCTGTTAATAATGAGGCAGTCGAAAGCTACCTCTGCCAATGAAAGCTGATAAAGGGTAAGCCTCATTGGCATCGTTACCGGTGCCAATTCGCCCAAAATAGTACCTCTACAATGAATGAGGCAGTCAAGAGCTACCTCTTCTTATGAAAGTTGATGTAGGGAAAGCCTCGTTGTCATCGTTACCGGTGCTCAGGATAGTACCTCCACAATGAATCTGGTAAAGGTAACACAGCACGCATGCAAATTTAGAAGTATAATGAGAACGTAATCATAGCTACTGAAATCAAGCCAGTAGGTACAATTGTGGATTATGCGGGCACGGTTGCCAACTACCTTTTCTAATGAAATTTGACATAGGGTAAGCCTCATTTTCATCGTTACCGGTGAAAATCTGCCCAGGATAGTTACTCTAAAATGAATCTGGTACAGGTAATACAGCGTGCGCGTGAATTTAGAAGGATAGTGAGAACGCAATCACAGCCACTGAAATCGATCCAGTAGGCACCATTGTGAAGTCTGGGGGCGCGGCTACCAACTATCATCTTACCCAACGATCTTCCCATTCCATACTCCGTACTGAAACTTCGCCTAGGCGGGGTAACAAGCCATGCGGGGAGCACAGAGGTGAACACTTTTCCCAACACCGGGGTCGATGCGTCAGATGGCCGAGCAATCATCACGCCAACATCCAACGCACGTGATGAAATTGCAGCAATTATCGACTCGAATGTAAGCCATCAAGCAATGATCACACCAAGTGCGACAATCCCGGATGAAGGGGAGAGCCGTGAACGCTCATAGGTATGCGGTAGCATGGCTACTGCATCCTATAAATACCGCAGCCCCTTGTGCAACAACCACCCGTTTCTGCTGTTTTGTCTCTGATGATGGATTCGAGTAGGAATACGAAACGTCAGGCTAATAAAGCTCTTGTCCCGGCGATCGTGCCTCCTTCTTCAAAACGTCGAGTGCATTTACACTTTTTTGTTTAACCCCCCCCCCCACCCTACATTCAGTAGATGTGCTAACTCATGAAATGCTAACCGAAATTCTGAAATGTGTTTTCGATTCGAGAGGATTGCTTAAATAGGGTTGTAATATTAACCACCATACAGCATAATGCCATAATGATTCAGTCACTACAGATGCCGACTTTTGAGGGCAATTCTTTTCAGACGCCTGCAAAAACTACACCCTGTAAAAAATGACTACTTAAATGGTGCGAATTTTCCCATTTATTTTAAATGCCTTTATAAATTTAAATATATTTCGTGGAAAATATGCATGAGAAAATTCAATTTTTACTCATTTTGTAGAAAATTACGTGTTTTTTAAAGTTTAACATGAGCGATGGGTGTAATTCGGTTTTAAAAACTTCTCCAGTTCGCGAACTATTTCGAACCCGACTTTTCGTTACACTTGCATTCTAGGCTTACAAACAACAAGTTGCATATTTTCCGTGTATGTAAAGTCACACACTTTCTACAGTACTAAGAGGAGATTATATGGGGTTCATGAAATTTTGCAGAGGATTTGGGCCATATTGTAAACGTTAGAAGCAACATTAGTAATTGCAGAAACACGATGTTTTGTGAACAGGTATTTCGTGGTCCTAAGTAATCTTCTCGAGTCGAAAACAAATTTCAGAATTTCGGTTAGCATTTCATGACTTGGCACACCTACTGTACCTGCTCACTGCGCGCGACCGTAGGCAAATAACTGCGCAAACTCACTGCCGCATGCTGCTTATTGATTTTTCCGACCCCATGTAGGTTGACTGGTTCGGCTAACAATAGCCGCACATCTGCTGACTGAGCCTGCATGGAACTAAATTGCACTCCATTAGAGTGTGATTGTGTTGTGAGGATCAGATCGTGTTTGGTGCGCCCAGACGGGCTGTTTGTCAACCACTTAGCCGGCGCTTGTAGCGGGACAGCAGTGAGAATAAGTGCTCTGAGCGCTACAACCGCCAGGTCGAATCCCATGTTGGAAGGAGAAGACGGAAGGCACCA